GCGGGTCCCAAATAAATGTATTAAAAATAAAATTTATTTATTAAGTAATATTTATTAATCTACTAACTTAACCCAAAGTTTACATACATTGTCAATTGTCATAATAAATTTATTTGAATGTATCATATTTGTAAGGTCAATCACGTTTATCTAGAGAATCCACACTGGTGACACTCCACACTATTGACCCATTGACTCCAGATACACTGGCACAGGACAGGTCAATTTCATTTCAAAATAATTCTGCAGTTAGGATACATTTCCACGAATTTGTCCACCATACGTTCCAAATCCAGTTTCTTGGCCCTCTGTGAATGTATCGATATTACAGCAATATTTGACAAGCGCTCGTCCAGTTTCTTGGCCCTCTGTGAATGTATCGATATTACAGCAATATTTGACAAGCGCTCGTCCAGTTTCTTGGCCCTCTGTGAATGTATCGATATTGCAGCAATATTTGACAAGCGCTCGTCCAGTTTGTTGGCCCTCTGTGAATGTATCGATATTGCAGAAGCGCTCGTCAGTCATGGTTGTGCGAAGATGTGTTTTTATTAAAGCTAGTTGACTGAATGATCTTTCTGCTTCTGTAGATGACACCAGTATCGTGCATCCAATTTGCAGTGGTCGTTTACTTTCGTAGAATGCATCCTCGTATTTCTCGAGCAATTCCAGCACATCCAGCATATCCAGCATAGAAACTACTTCAAAATTGTTGCTCTCCTTCTTTCTTTCTACCAATCTCTGTAATTGTTAAATTTCGATTTCTAAATCAATGAGGTTCCCTTTGTAATGATTCGCTAGGGGAATAATGTTACCAAAATCAAGGAGTTTTTCATTATTAGGCACAAAGGAGTCAATTCCAGACAGCACCTTCATTGTATCGGAAGAAAATCTATTTTTTAATTCCTGTAGTACTTTATCCAGTATAGGATAATATATGCGCGCACGAATATTACTACTCAAAGCTGTGTGACCACTTTGTAGAAGACCAATTGGTTCGGTAACAACAGCTTCAGAAATACGTTTAGG